AACTGTTTATTGTGGACCATCCATCTTGTTAGCAAGTTCATATCACGTCCGGGACACCATTGTGGAGATTTAATTTTTGACTATGTCAACCTTCATCTACCAAAAGGTACCTCATGATAGATTCAAGTAACATGTCTTATATACTAGTGAATAAATATTTAATATTTATAGTGGTAGTTACGCCACAGACTTTACGTAGCACAGACGAATGATGGAATTACACATATCTTGGCTATTCTATGATTCCGAATTTGTATACGATAGAAGAGGTATGATTATACACAGTCCAGTCACATTAATGTGACCACCACCTATTTTCGACGTAAACGTGAAATAACCAATCACAGAAAGCAGGTGGCAGCACATTACAGTGGAGTGTATGTATAGGATGTCCTAGGGCATCGGAAAGCATTTCAATCATTGGCGTAATGCAGAAACGTAGTGATTTATCCGACGTCAAAAAGGGCATGATTATGGGCTTTCAGGCCATGGGTGGAAGTATTTCAGAAACGGCTAATTTTGTGAACTGTTCAAGTGCCGCCGTGGTAAAAGTATACCATGTATGGCAAAATGGCACTCTTCAAAATAAGTAGCGTGGCACATGTGGTGCACCACGGGCTATAGATGACAGAGGCGAGCGAAGGCTACGAAGATGTGTTCAGGCGAGTAGACATGCAACTGTTGAGCAACTGACCGCCCAGATGAACCAAGGGGCTACCAAGAGTGTATCCTCAATAACTTTTCAGCGAACGTTGCTGCTCATGGGCCACAGCAGCAAACCCCTGGTTAATGCACCTATGCTGACTGCTGTTCATCGGCGACGAAGGCTGGAATTTACACTCCACTACCGCAATTGGACGTCCACAGAGTGAAGACAGGTGGCTTTTTCCGATGAATCACGTTTTATGCTCCATCGGACAGATGGACGTTGGCGTATACGGCGTGAAACGTCTGAAAGCAAACACCCTGCAACAATTGTCGGAACGATCCAGGCTGGAGGAGGGAGCATTATGGTTTGGGGAATGTTTTCCTGGCATTCACTGGGTGCACTCATCATTGGGGAAGGCACGATGGATCATCACAAGTACGCATCTGCCCTTGCGGACCATGTCCACCCCTACATGCGAATGATTTTTCCTCAGAATGATGGCATCTACCAGCAGGACAATGCGAGGTGTCATACAGCTCGGAAGTGTATGTGCGTGGTTCGAAGAGCACCAGGATGAATTTACCGTACTCCTCTGGCCAGCAAACTCACCGGATTTAAACCTGATCGAGAATCTGTGGGACCACCTTGATCGGGTAGTTCGCGCCATGGATCCTCAACCGCGTAATCTAGCGCAGCTGGCCACGTCACTGGAATCGGTATGGCTCAACATCCCAGTGAATATCTTCTGAAATCTATTTCATTCTCTTCCTGCCCGTTTCGCAGTGGTCCGCTCTGTCAAAGGTGGTTATTCAGGCTTTTAACAGGTAGTCACATTAATGTGACTGGACTGTGTATATGCAATATATGATTTGTAGGCTGAGCCTACCATAAGGGCATGTATAAGAATCGCGAAAATTTATTTATCAATCTCAAATCGATAAAAAAAAGTAACAATGTAGTTACGTATTATAAAAAAAAAATATTATAAATTTTTAGACAAATTGAAATATATACCGAAAAGTATTTTATAGTTATTATCTTTAAATATAAAAGATAAGCTCAAATAAACGACTGGTTTAAATATTAATATGATATATAGAGTAGCTGGACCTGGTGCTTCGCGCTGTCTCGCCACAGGTCCTTGGTTCAATCCCTCGGCCGGGCAAGGTTGACTCAGCCTTTAATCCCTACAGTGGATCGATAAAATGAGTACCAAACGTGCTTGGGAGCTAAACACTGGGGGTTCTGTGTTGGGCTGACCACTTTACCGGAACATCTGCTCTTGTACCTCACAGCCCAAAGGTTAAGAAAACTGAGTTGGGCACAGTAGGCTTTGGCCCTCTATGGAGTTTAGTTTAGTTGGAGCTAAACTGTTCGACCTAGAAACTGTCAGTTTTAAACAAGATATCCATTTTTTAGTGGTGTCCAATATATCATCTCTGGGAAGTTATAGACGTACAGTACGCAAAAAAGAAGAAAAAATATGAAATAAATATAAATTAATGGACCACCCTGAATAAATTAGATCTAATGATCGGATCTTCACGTTCTAGGACTCAATCTTAATGGTTCGAGGGGTTGACCTCAAATACGCTAATTAGTTAGCGCAGGCGATATTTTAAGTTACGAAATCAGACACAGAAACGTTCTCTGAATAAACAAACTTTTTTTCAATGGACTCGAATTTCCGCCCCCAAAGTCTAGAGGATAGCCGCAATCCGGAAAATGTGGTCCCAATAAATCGGCCAGGAGGGCACTACAAAGTTTGGACCTCTTAATGTTAATTTTATTTTTTGGTATTTTGCCGTCTCTCGAGAAATTTAAAAGCTTATTGAAAACTTAGTACATGCAATTATAAAATTCATTAATCTAAGGATAATTACATGCAAAAAACTAACTTTTAATAAAAATTTATTATTTTATTTTTCATTATATATTATTTGCAAAAGTTTTTAATTGTAAGGTATAAAATTTTTGTGTACATCATTTTAAAGAGCATAATTTTACATGACAAAATACAAAATTTGAATGAAATTGGTTAAATAGTTCCTGAGAAAACGAAATTGTAAAATACGATTTTTTTTGGAAATTTGATTTCTCAGGGCCAATTTCACTTAAATTTTGTATTTTAACACGCACAATTATATTCTTTAAAACAATGTAAAAAATTATACTCCTTACATTTCAAAATTCCTTCGACTAATATTAATATAAATAATAAAAAATGGTAAATATTTACTAAAATTTATTTTTTGCATGGTTTTATCGTTAAATAAATGAATTTTATAATTGTGTGCAAAATTTTTTTAATTCGCGTAAGAATTTTGCGAGACATAGCGAAAAGTAAAATTAACATTAAGGGGTCCAAATTTTGGACATCTCTCCTGACCAAACAACTAGGGCCATATTTCCCAGATTGCGGCTACACCCTATAATATTTTTTTAATTTTTTTTTGGGGGGGGGAGGGGGGTCGGAAATCTGAATCCGTAGGAAAGGTTTGTTTATTCGGAGAAAGTACATTTTGTGTTTGATTTCGTAACTTAAAATATCGTCTGCACTAATTAATTAGAATATCTGAGGTGGTGAATGAGTCCTAGAAATCTTTAGTAAACCGTTAATAATCTGGCTAAATAAGGCTAGTTTAGAAATAAAAGAACAATTCATTTACAGAAATGCCGCGAATTAATCAACAATAGGTTTATATGGTAGATTCTTCTTCTTGACTAGTAAAGTGTAGTTCAGATTTTGTCTATCAAGAAAAACAGAACTAGTTTCGACACAATCGAAGTAACTAGTCCCACCGCACTATCTGGTCTCTAACCCCACTATTCCTTATTTATTTCTGATGAAATATTGCTTTATATAGCAAAAATATGATCAGGTGTTTTGTTGGAATTGTTCTGGGAAGTCTAGAAAAGACAAAAAATTTTATTTCTAAAACTGAGTTGCGTCAATCAGGAAATTACTTAGGGTTATTGCAATTAACTTCCTATAAGACTATTTATAAAGTCTACGTTACCAGGGGTCTGTCCAGACATTTTGTGAATGGTCTGTTTTTGTAAAATTGTGAAAAAATTACTCGCAATTTGTGAATATAAAATAAATATTAAGTCACATTCTTTCGACCAGGGTCTGCTTTTGTGAATTTGTGCAAATAGGTTCCGTTATTGCAAAAAAACATTTTCAAGGAGTTTTTAAATTGTAAAGACTTACAAGATTATGCTCAACACTGTAAAATTCTAATTGAAGAAATTAAATTTTCAAAAATAAACGGTAATTGCAGCTACTAAATTAGCGATGCACCATATAAGTATTTGGTATTTAGCCTATACTGCTGAACGCAGAATATTCATTTCGGTGGAATAAAGGAAGAAGCTTCTGCCGAAGACAAAATTTAGTTTGTTTACATCTGTCTTTCTTCCTCCCCCCCTTCCTTGGAAGGGTTTATTCGATTAACAAAACAATAATGAAGATAAAAAAATTTGTGAAGGGTCCGATTAAAAGATAAAAACGGACCCTTCACAAAATAGTTTAAGTTAAAATATTTTGTGAAGGGTCCATTTTTATAAAAAGATATTTTGTGAAAGGTCCGTTAACGGACCCAAATTTCTTCTAAACAGATTCCTGGTTACTCTGTATTTATTACAAAAGGCCTGCAAATTAGACTAATTAAGCAATGGATAATTTATTTCCTAATTAACTTTAAGGTACGTGGATATACTGCAACAAACCTAAAAATGTCAGGTTATAAAAAAGAAAATTCTGGAAATTTTTCTAATTAGCTGGGTGAATTGCAAAAAAGCCGGTGACATTTGCAAAAAGCCGAATCATTCAATTAGCCTACAACTTCCATATTAAATGATGTAGGAGCGCTAAATGTGATTTTTTTTGTGAAATAATAATTAAAAAAATCACATAAATAGTGTGTAAAAGAATTCTAGCAACAGACCATTGTGGACCAGGGAGAGGGAAGCTCTCAGAGATTAACGCTTTTGAGTTTCATGACCTAGGGATTGCACATTACATACATCTCAAATCTAGTAGAAGGCCATTTCCACTTCATCATTTTTCTTATTTGGTGCACGATAGAGTTTCTTGAATTAATGGAGTACAACTGATTTATTTTAAAGAAAAACAATTTTTTTTTCAATATCTAATATTTGAAAGCCGAAAACAAAAAGGATTTTCAATTTCTTTATCGTTATTTCAACGTGTAAATGGGCACGCCACATTTATCACCCAGTATATTGTTTAAAAATTTCTTTTAATTATTTGGGTATTTTCATAAGGACTGCAAATAAATAGAAATTGAACTTAAAAAAAGTATTAAAGCAAAATTTCATTTTTCAGAGCATGGATGTTTTAGACATTGAACGGCACAACAAATTTGGAAGAATATACGGGTAAGTTAGAAAGTTGAAATACATAATTTTATGCATAAAATGACGTGTGAAAACATAATTAACTTTCCACCTTCACTTTAAAGAAAAATATCAATATAGAAAAAGAAACCGTAAAAAAATATCACAATCATTATTATTAATAAAGTCTTCATTAATAACACTCCTTATGTGATTTAATTTCTGTCCGTGAAAAGTAATTAGATAGAAAAAATTACGCGACTATAAAACAGGACAATAAAACAGTAATAAAATAAATTACTGCATAATCAAATTAAGGAATTAATATTATAATTGCTGAACTAATTGAACCTTTCTTTACATCAATATTATGGAAATATTATTTGTAGCTGTAATTATCAAAATATCATCCAAATGCTGATTTGTCAAATGAGTTCTTGTTCTAGATTTTGTGTTCGTTGATGAAATAGTCCGATTTAATATTTAGTTTTTAATAAACAAGTGTTGTTTCGTATGTCACTTGGACAAGCAAAACACGCCAGCTATTGGGCTTTGCGAATTAAGTCAGGACGGTGTGCCATTTATTTCAGAAAGGAGCACTGCCTTGGTAAAAGTACGTTTTAGCTTAAAACCTCCCAATGAGATGGCAGGAGCATTAATTCGTGAGGCTACTTCCACAATTTTAGTTTAGATTAGAAGGAGAATAAATTTTTCTACAGAGCCACAGGACTTTAGATTCTACAGATTTTACGAGCTAGTATATCGCCTGTACTTGGTGGGTTTTAGCTAAGGTGAGGTGAGAGCCCGGCTTCTCTGGACCACTGGCCTACCACGGCCCACAATAAATAAGTTAATTCCTCTATTTTCTTTTATATTTCTTAGCTACAAATTCGGCAATACTAGTTACCATTTGAAATAAATGCCATCGTACGGTATTTTTCATCCTTTTTTAATGAGTTATTGTTTTAAATTGACTGAAATAGTTAGCAAGAGGCGTTGATGACTCCTAATCTAGACGAACTCCAGTGACCATAGCATATTAAAATCTGGAAACCAGCCTATGTAGTTATTGGAAACATTTCTTTACATGTGCTGTGCTAGGTCATTTAAATAGATTAAAGCAAATATTCAAATTTGTATGGAAATGAAATACTTAAAAAACTACATTAATGTTTTGGAAATTTTTAGTACTACTTCTAATTTTTCAGAGCTTTTGAAGGCACGAAACCTATTCTTATTGTAGCTGAACCTGAACTTTTGCGGGACATATTTACAAAGGATTTTCATAATTTTCCTGCAAGAAGGGTAAGTTATGTCAAATTTAAGGATAAATAATGAAGGGTAAATTAAGTTAGTTTGGAAAACGTAGTTTTTATATTTAAGGAATGAAAAGTTTGAAGAAGAAAAGTTAACTTGTACAAACTAAATCGTAACAAAACTAAAGACGAACTAGTGCAATTTGAAACTAAATAGGTTTATTGATAAGTAAACAAAATTTTTAACATTGCAACTTAAAACATTGCTCCTGCAAATGTTGTTCAGATGATAGTTGTTCGATTGATAGAGGACACTAAATGATTGAGGTAACTGATTGAAGGATTGAACATGAGATTTAAATAAGAAAATAAAATATTAGCAAAATTTGATGATCAATATTGAAAAATATGGGACTTAGATCAAAACAATTTTGATTGCCGGATGAAACTTGAAAGTACTTTCAAGAGGCCCTTAACTTCGTCTGAGTTCTTTTTATCTTTCATTCTGTTTTAAAGCTGTTTTTTAGCACAGCATGTTTTATTCTTACTTCGTGCCATTAACAATTAATTTATAACCTCTAAAAAAAGTCTACGGCCCCCTTCATGTAACAATGAATGAGTTATGCCTCTTTTAGAAGAATAGATTTTGTTTAAATGTTATGCTTACTTAATTTGAAAGCTGTAGCTGACAATGAAAATCAGCAAATTTAAGCTGAATTACTACTATGACTAATTAAAGCTTATATTTTAGTAAATTTATACGATTTTATATTCATATTTACAGAAAAAAAGGCATAACGAAAAGTTCTTTAAATTTCATAATTCACGAATACATGAACTTTTTTTTAACATGAATAGTAATATGCATATTTTTATTAGACTTTTTCGTCTCGAAAAGTTATGATGAACTATTTGTTGTGTAATTTTTTTGCAGCAGACAAATTTCACCTTAAAATTTAAAAAGTAATTTCCTTTACAAATAAAAAAATTTAAAGTATGAGAAAATGGAAATTGGTGCATAATCCATGAAAGAATATGAAAACGTAGAAGTTAATGTTTGACAATAGTGAAGACTTAGAGGTAAATTTAAGCAAAACTTTGTTGTTAGGATTTTTTATAAAACTGTAACAGAAAATAATTTAAAAGGAAAGAAACTTCATCTTATTATTTAAAAAATATATTTATAATATATGGCACGAATAAATTCAAAAAAGGATAAAAAAAAAGAGAAAAATGAAAAAAAATTAATAAGTTTTATTTACTGCGTTATAAGCAGTAAATGTAACTACAAGTATATAGAACTCATAAAATAAGTTCAAAATATAGAGAAAACATGAAAAAAATTACAGAACAATGAAAAGAGAAGAAGAAAATTATTAAAATAAAATAACATAATAATAATAATAATAAAAAATCAATAAAAATCCGAAGAAAAAAAGATATACCTTCATCGGCTTACACGACTATATCAGCAAGAAGGAGTGAAGAGCACTCAAAATGTTTTTAAAACAAAATTGAACACATAAAGTAATAAATATTACTTAAATNTTGAGATTAAATTAAATATTATCATGTTTTTAGGGCATGAATCTGAATTGAACAACCTGATAATGCTCACTCTGATCATTATTTCCCTTTTTAAAAGCGCTATATGTTGAGCCACCTCATGTGACATTTGCCATGTGACATTTTTAGCAGCAATCATTGGTCGACTTTCTAACGTTATCATTCGGGGAGTTGTAATGAGGCTTTTTTTTGGTGCCGTGTAAGAGAAATATATATATAGATATTTTCTTTTATTTTCATATATTGCAATCTGGCAATCTTGTTACGAAAATATTTTTTAAATCATTCTTGAAATATTTCCCGTTCATTTAAGTACATTTGAATTCGCTACTCGCTTTATTGATTTTGTTTTATTCCGTTTTTTCTTTTATTTTCTGTTTTTACGTGTTATTTTTACTTATTGTGTTTTATTTTATTTGTTGTAATTTTTGTAAAAAAAAATTTCTTTTTTCAATATCAGAAAGCACTCTTTTTTTGCGGATATAATCGTGTGGGCTGATGAAAAAATTATATCTTTTATTTTCTGGATTTTTTAAATAAATTTTATCCTTTTTTTCCCCAGTTGTTTGTTATTTTTATTATTATTATTTTTCTTCCCCCCTTTTCTTCATATGTTTGTTATTCTCCTTTGTTTTATCTTCATTTTGAACTTATTTATATACATATATATGTATCATGTATTTCTTTTAAATATAGATAATTAGTGCGGCAGATCCTGTTCTGGCCAAAATGCTAACAGTTGTGCAAGGAGAAGACTGGAAGAGAATTCGTTCAATAGTATCACCGACATTTTCCTCTGGCAAACTGAAGCGCGTAAGTTAAGCTGAAATGTATAATTAGCATATAGAAAAAAAAATTGATAGAGAATTTAATAAAATTTTCAAAATTTAAGATTATTTTCATGATTTGGCAAGCTCACCAAATTAATAATTAAATTGCAATAGAACATCTGATTCTAGGCCCATTTGAATGTAATTTTCGAAAATAATTATTAAAAGACACGAATTCAAGATAATTTTAGGTTAACAAAAGTACCGGTTAAAAGGCACATGAACTGCCAGTCCATAATCTGGTGGCGCCCTCATCGGCACTCATTGACATTTCCGGACAATCAGTTAATGATGTGCCCTATTAGTTTGTAGTACATGAAGTTCAGAAATATCCTAAATACATAATTTTCATTGACATCTCCGGCTTAACTGCTTCTATGATTCAACTTTAATATTTTATTTCACTAGCTGCCTATTTATTAAATGCTATTGTTCTAGGTTTTCAGCATCTTTCAAGATTGCTCTAAAACATTGATACAGAATTTTATGAAATCGTACGAACATGATATTTCAATCGATGTTTTAAAGTAAGTAGTTCATTCAAATATCAATTACTATTATGCTTGCTATTCAAATGAATAAAAAAATACAATACGATACACTATTCTTACTAAACTATGCAGCTTCTGACGCTGCTGGTTTGACGAAGCGAAATGTTCGTAGCTAGGTTTTGTAAGATTATCAAAACATTGTGCATTTTTTCAAACAAAACTTTAAATATTTCTTACAGAAATAAACTGTGCAGAAATAAGAGAGAGAATCACAGTTCTATTGTTAAACTTAGGCTGATTTCAAGTTTACGGTTGTTCCTATTCACTCTATTTTAAAGGATACATAATGTCTGTGAGTTTTGATAGAAGTTTTGCTCTTAATATCTCAAAGTTCAAATAGTCTTAAACTATTCCTTACCATGGGCGTCGTTGGTAAAGGGACGGTGATTTTTATGTCCCCTTCAACAATTAAAAAATCGCTAAGAGTCCCCCCAATATTTCAGACAAATAGAGAAAATTTTTACAATTTATCATCGATGTAAATTCCTTAACGTTAAAAATCAGAAAGAGGTTTAAAAAAAACTAATCTTTTTGCAGGTATTTGGTACATTCAAAAATTTTTTTTTTTCTTCTTATGTGAGAAATTTAGAAAACTATTGTGATTGCGTAATTTAATTTTCTCCCCCTCAAAAACTTAGCCCTTGGGACGCCTATACTTATTACTATAAGACAGGGTACTAAGAGTTAACCCTAAAAAAATGCCACTAAATTAATAATACTACATTAATAATTAAGTTATTATATTCCACTAAAAATAAAGATTTAGTCAAATAGATTGTTCTATTGCAACATCTGGTTTTGATATAAGAGAGAGTAACCCCATTATTAGCAAAAAAAAAAAGAGTTAAAATCCCAAAAAGCTCTAAAAACTCATCATTTTCTACGAAACCATTGCAATTTTCGAAAAAGAAAAGGACACTTTGAGATGTGAGCTATTTTGTTCTGTTCGGATGATGTAATTAAAACCCTATCAATTAAAAAGAAAACAATTTTATTTTCCAGAAATTATGGTGCTTTTACAATGGATGTAATTGCAAGTTCAGCATTTTCGACGAAGATTGACTCACATAATGATCCCGACAATGTTTTCGTCCAGAATGCGAAGAGAGTATTCTCTCAACCAATTGGCATCAAGTTTTTTCTGTTCCGTAAGTACTAGTCAGAGAAAAATAAAATAGGAATTTTTTTTTTAAAAAAAAAAAGCTCTACATAACTATGTAGGGGTATGTGCATACCTAAGGATGCTATAACTTGGAAAAGTTTGGAAACTCACGTTATACTACTCACTTCTATATGAATACATTGTTTTGTTTACTTTCAGTTATTTTTCCATCAGTCATGAAGAAATTAAAAGCGCAACTATTTCCAGCAGATGTACTAGATTTTTTTAAAAGTACTACAACAGACATTATTAAAGAACGGAAGAAAACCGGTCAGGTACTTTTGTACTTGATATTCTAACTCAGGGGTTTCCAACTTACATGAGGGCGGGGGCCACAATTAAAAACACAAATCAAATGGCGGGCCGCAACTTTATCAAAATTTTATGTACGACTCTTTTATGTTTGAAGGAATATTAAATATTACAGTCAGATTTTTGTCAAGTTGTACAAAGCAAAAGTATTGAATTACAAATTAAAATAAGTAGATTTTTAAAAATATTTAATTGTTATATTATATTTTTAAGAATATTAAATAAATAATAAAAATTCGAGCTACAATAACTTTAATGTGCACCCATATATTAAACAAATAATGTGCAACAGATATCTAATTGTTAAGATATAAAACTTTAAAAAGGTTGGTATTAAAACTTACATAGGTTTGTCTGCTGCAACCACCAGAGAATAGATATTTACATTTTAAATTAAAAATTTACAAATGTGTGTGTAAATATTTTCGTCCAAAATGAGTGNTTTGAAGGAACTTTAAATATTACTGTCAGATTTTTACCAAAATGTACAAAACAAAAGTATTGAAATACAAATTAAAATGAGAAGTAGATTTTTAATTGTTATTAATAATATTTTTAAAAATAGTAAATAAATAATAAAAATTCGGGCTACATTAACTTTAATGTGCACCTATGTGTTAAACAATTAATGTGCAACAGATATCTAATTGTTAAGAGATAAAACTTTGAAAAGGTTGGTAATTAAAATTTACATAGTAGCACACAAAATATTCAATGAGAAAATTGAGGTTTGTCTGCTACAACCACCAGAGAATAGATATTTACATTTTAAATTTACAAATGTGTGGGTAAATATTTTCGTCCAAAATGAGAGGTTTCAAAAGTTAAATTGGAGAATTTCTTCGAGAAAATTTCTGATACGCACATGCTAAATTATATTCACAAAATACAAAAACAACGAAATAAAAAANTGAAATTAAATAGAGCAACATACACGATTATTTTTGTATTTGAATAAATATTTTCTTGGGTGCAAAATTTGAGAAATAAATTTCTTTGCACCGCTGGTATGTTAAACTTCACAGAAACAAAGAAATTAGGTTTTTATTAACGAGAAAAGTATTTTAAACCCATACAGATTTTTTACGAAAATTGACTAAATTACTAAAAAATGACAACTAATATATTTTAGCTCGCGGGCCACAATAAAAGGCCCCGGGCTGCCAGTTGGAAACCCATGTTTTAACTATTAATTTCCTCTTTTTAGAAAGTTAAAAAATTATAACTATTTTGAATAACTTAAATATAATAAAATGAAGTAAATTATGTTATAATTTTAAAAAATTTATTTTTGATCACAATTTTGCAGACCAGAAATGATTTCCTCCAGTTGTTGATAGATTCTGCAGATGAAATATCTAAGGAAGAAAAAACGGATGAGAGCACAGATGATATTACACAAAATTACGGTGAAGAGTCAAGTAACCACTCTGTCTTTAAGAACGTTATGGCAAAACGTTAGTTAATTGCTGTTTAGAAGTTATTATATAAATTTAACTATAAATCAAATTATTATAAGAATTAGATTTATAGTAATTTCGATGATAAGTAATATATATTTTTTATTTATTCTGTCAATTATTTTATGTGTAATCAAATTATGACTGTTCTATTGTAATAAGACCATAAGGAGAATTTTTCTAACTAACATTAGCAGAGTATTAGAGTTAGTACCCTTTGCAGTGTAAGTGCACAAAAACAAGTAATTACACTCAATTTTAAATATATGACTTTCTTAAAATTTGATTTATCAGGAACGATTCGACCGATTTCGCTCAAATTATATATTTTGTCATTTAAAATTACATATACTTTAAAAGGATGTAAAAAATTGTATACCTTACATTTCAAAAATTTTTAGATTATTATTACAGAAAATAATAGTTAAAAATAAATATTAAAAAATTGTTTTTTTTTTTTTTTATTCGTGGCATTATCTTTAAACGTATTTTATAATANCTGCTATCCTCCATTCTTATAATGTGGCCTGCAAATTTAATCCTTTGAATTTTGATAAATTTAATGACATCAGGTTCTTTATATGCTTTGTAGAGTTCCGTATTCGACCGATTTCGCTCAACTTTTATATTTTGTCATTTAAAATTACATATACTTTAAAAGGATGTAAAAAATTGTATGCCTTACATTTCAAAAATTTTTAGATTATTATTACAGAAAATAATAGTTAAAAATAAATTTTAAAAAAATTGTTTTTTTTTATTTTTTTATTCGTGGCATTATCTTTAAACGAATTTTATAATTGTGTGAAAAATGTTTAAATTCGAGATATGGCGCAAAAAGTAAAATTTACATTAAAGGATCCAAACTTAAGAACCGATCTGATAACCAAACTATTGGGAATATATATCGAATTGTGACTGCATCCTATATTTTGAGCCGCGATGGCTCAGGGGATAGAGCATTCGCCTTCCAATGCGACGAACCGTGTTCGTTCGAATCCTGCTTACACCGACCACAGTGCTGACGTGAAATATCCTCCTTGGTAGACGAATCATGGGTTAGAGTCCCCTTGCCATCAGGCTAACCGTGGGAAGTTCTCGTGGTCTACCTCTCCATGTAACTCATATGAGGGTTAGCTTCATCAAAAAGTCCTCCACGAAGGCAAATTTCTCCCGATACTCGAACCAGGAGTTCCCTTGTCTTCTGGATTGGGTTCAAAATTACAAGACTTTGGAGTTGAACATTAGTAGTTGTAAACCCGTAAAATTGGGTCGGCTGTTCAACGACGGTTTAATACATCCTATATTTTGAAGGGCAGAAATCCTTATTTGGATTTTATTTCGTAACTTAAATGATCATTTGCACAAATTAATTAGCTTATTTGAGGTCTAGCATTAGCATATTATTAAGTTTGAGTCTTATTACATGAAAATTCGATCATTAGGATAAAAAATTATTCAGAATAATTTTTTTTTTGTCTTTTGTAGTGTTATTATTTAAGCCCATTTGTGCCTAGCGTCCTCTTTAAAGGGCTGACCTTATTTTTTCAAAAAATAAAAAATTTTGCGCTAGTGTTTCATTATAAGAGTAGATTGAAAGTTAATGTCATTTTTCAGTTAATGTAAGATAGTATAGTTTTTTTTTAAAATTACAATATGTAGCAAATAAAAAGAAGAAAAAAAAAAACGTTTTAAGTTTTGCATCTTTGGTGATATTTGTCACCATTTTATTTTGCTTAAAAACGATGGTTTAAGGGAACTAAACTACTGAACATCATTACCCAATACAAGTCAATATTTAAAAATATATTTCACTTTGAAAATGTGATTTTAGTGAAGAATTATTCAAGAAAGAGATAGAAAGAAACTTTAATAAATGCATGTATTCATGGCGTCCCACAACTGATGAAAATGATTTGAAGGAACAGAGCTATAGTTTTTCGTATTTAAAAACCGTCTGACCATCTGGGGGACTTTTCATTTTCTCAGTAAATGATAAGCGTAAAATATCATGAGTAGGAAGAAAAAATGGTCATTTGAGTTCTGAACAATTGATGAAAGTTGCTTCCTACTATGGAAGCAAACCACAAAATTGTTGGATGATTATGGAATAAAATTTAAAAGTGGTCAGATTCATCCCTGATCTGAATCCCATAGAGAGTTAGTGAGAAATAATGAAGAGCATAAGACAGGGAAGAAGACAGTAAACATTTCGGGCAAAACAAATTTCGACACTCGCAAGTCTCTCTGTTGAATCTTTATATATCTTCTTATCTGTTGAAACCAAGACGACTTTAAATGTTTATTACTGATAAAGGAGGCAGAATTTATTACTGATTTGTTTGTATAATGTTGTATAAAGATCAGATATTTTGAAATGCGTTTCAATTTCTGATTTCGATTTTTATTTACTTAAATACAGAATTTTTTCTAAATACAGAATGCGTTGTTGTCTCATTACTTTTGCTCCACACTTTAAACAATACTTAAAAGGCAAATTAGCTCTGGTAAGAAACTAATTATAATTAATTGGCAAGTAATTAATTAATAGGCAAGTAATTAATTGTAAGAAGACATTAATTAATTGTAAGAAGACATTAATTAATTGTAAGAAGAAACTAATTAATTAGTAAGTAAGATTTGCGACTGCTGATGGTAAAAAAGGCAAATTTGTATTGTCAATAAATAAAGGACACATTTGAGCGTTTGTTTTATAAAATTATATTTTTATTGCTATGGTAGTTGTAATGCACGAATTTTTTTTTATACTTTAGATTTATCAATGGATGAACTCACTGCTCAGTGTTTGATATTCTTTCTCGCCGGATATCATACAACGTCAGTAACACTAAGTTTCACTTCATACCTTCTTGCACTGCATCAAGACATACAAGAAAAACTGTTTCAAGAAATAAGTGACATATTAAAGAAAACCAAAGTAAGTGCAATTTTTAAATAAATAAATAAAACTAAAGTATATCTTAAGGGTTTGAAAATAAATGTTTTAAAATAATATTTATTTAATGTTTTTAAAGGTGGCATTGAAATCTAAAAAACAACTTGATATATTTTTTATTTTGGGAACAGCTTTATTTTACTTTATGTTTCGGATGTTATCTTGTGGGGAAAAAATATTTATTTTCTGTATTGCGTCAGTCATATGTTTTGTACTAACGATGTGCTAGGCCAGGGGTGGCGAACCTTTATACACCAACATGCCATTTTCTCTACAAAATTGCTAAATGAGGTCATAGACGTGCCGTCAAATAATTTTGACTTCNAGGGTTTGAAAATAAATGTTTTAAAATAATATTTATTTAATGTTTTTAAAGGTGGCATTGAAATCTAAAAAACAACTTAATTGATATATTTTTTATTTTGGGAACAGCTTTGTTTTATTTTGTTTCGGATGTTATCTTGTGGGGGAAAAATATTTATTTTCTGTATTGCGTCAGTCATATGTTTTGTACTAACGATGTGCTAGGCTATATTAAGATTAGATATTATAATCATTAGCAGATTGGATTTTGGTGTTGTAAAGAAAAAAATTGTGCCATTGAAATTATTCAATACATTACAACAATTATATTTTTAAATAAAATAATACTCGTTTGAATTTTTTTTCATTGTTTTAACATTGTTGACTGTCACAATACTGTAAAAAATTTCGGATCAAATTATGGTTAAAAATTCAGGTACTCAGGGTGCCGGTAGTTTTTACCTTGGAATCCATTTTTATAAGAGCATGTTACAAAATAAAAGATCTGATATACCGTAATGTTTTCAGTAATAGTTTCCGTAAAATCACTGAATCATTCTAATTAAATAAACACTGTAATGTTTGAGGTATAATATTTTGCTGTAAAAATGGATTTTAAGGATGATGCCGCCCCCAAAGTGCCGGTTCCTTATACCGTAACTTCATCCGGAATTTTTTACAGTATACCTACCAGACTTACAGAAGCAACATCACTTTTTTGAGAGTTCATGTGAGTATAATGAGACAATCTGATACTTAACAGTTTAGTTACTGATCTTGTTTGGCCCTGATTTTGTACATAAAGATTTCAAATCTATTTTATATGTATACCTTAAAGAAAAATGCGATTGTTCAATCAGAAGATATAGAATACTTGGTTTTATTTGCTGTCATTGTGGACAAAATTAATAAATTTTTCATGCGTGGTATTTATTTCTGCAGAAATTTGCAGTCGAATAAGAATTAGGCACACTGCAAAAAATCACGGTAAAAAGTAACGACACTCATGAAGTCAGTATTCTGTCCAATTTTTTACCGGAACATGTTTCGGAACAAAAAGAATCTGATTTACAGTTATTTTTACAGTAATAATTACAGTAAAATCACTGAATCACTCTAATTAAATAAATACTGTAAAGTTAGAGGTATAATATTTTACGGTAAAAAGGTATTTTATGGATGATGCCCCTAAAGTCCCGTACTTTTATACCATAATTTAATCCGGAATTTTTTTACACCGTACTTTTGTTATTTACTATGGATATAAATGAGATGAATCAACTAAAACTTAGGAATTCCTTCTTTTTCTCCACTTTTGATAATCGACAATGGCTTGATGCTGGAGCAACCGAAAGTAAGAAATTCTGGATAGATAATTAATAACTTAGAAGTGTAGAAAGCTGTCAAAAAACTTTAATATCGGTAGGGAAGCTTTTTATGACAATTCGAACCAACTGCTACTATAAAATAGTGCTTCTGTGGTAGTTAATTGAATTAAACGTATTCATGTAGTAATTTGTTGTTGCCAGCTCATGCACTAGATCCTGTAGACTTATTAGAAAATGAACAATGATTTGTACCCATTACTGTGTAGTTTTTTTTAAATAGAAAATAAATTTTTCTTCAGAAGTTGTTAAATAATTTGGCCATATTGAAGAATAAATTTTTAGTTTCAATACTTGTACACATTGTTGATTTTTTAAAATATAAAAAATGATAAATGTTTTTCACTTATTATATTGTAGTTTTTTTTAAAATTGTGAATCGTTGTAGATCCAATGACGAGTGTAATTATATAATTTTTGATATATTTAGGGGCAACTAACGTATGAAGCTGTGCAAGAAATGAAATATTTGGATAACGTAATCTCCGAATCACTTCGATTGTATCCAGCACTCGTGAGGTACGTAACGTATGAAACCAACATATAAAATGCATTGGTTTATATTGATTAGTGCATTATATTACTTATATTAACATGTTCACTACAATGGAAAGATTTTAATTTCTTTCTACCATTTCTAAGAATTGCAATAAAATGAATTCATTTGTATTTTTTTTTTTTAAATTTCCAATTTATATAATAAGTTAACCTTCTAATGCTCAGTTTCCATTCAAACCAAAAGTTCTTTTCAATAATTTTCTGTTTTTATAGAAATACCTTGAAATAAATGTACACATAGTATGGTTATTTGACTGTAGTAAAGATTACTGCCTCTAGTCTATAGGTTTCATAACCGTCGTTAAACGGCCGACCCAATTTTGAAGTTACGACTACCAAGTTCAACTCCGTACCCTTGTAATTTTGAACCTAATCTAGAAGACAAGGGGACTCCTAGATTAAGCATTGGGAGAAACTTAGAAACTTGCCTTCGTGGAGGACTTTTTGATGGAAATAACCCGCATTTGCGTTACATGGTGAGGAAAACCTCTCGTGGTTAGCCTAACGGCAAGGGAATCTAACAGATTATCCATATACTACTGAGGATATTTTACATCAGATCACTGTGGCCGGTGCAAGCCGGATGCGGAATTCGTATCGACCAGCCATGGCTGGGATTCGAAACAAGTTCACTTCATAGTGAGGCTCTCATAAAGCTCTATCCCTTGAGCCACAATGGCTCAGTCTACAGGTTTGTAGATCGCTTCTCTGGCCTGGCATTAAAAATATTAGTGATATTAGGCGAAAATATTAATTATATATAGCTTATGTATAATCATGGCGCTCACCTGATATGAAAGATTCTCTACAAATGTTTTGCGTGTTACGTCATCCTAACGCAATATATCACTGAAACGTTTTATAGCTTGGTCAGAGCGTATATGAGTAAGTCTGAACTCAGTAATAAATTTTGCAATTTTAATGAATTTAAGAATAAAATAATAAATTATAGACTAACGTATAACTCATTTAGATGAATGTTTTAAATTTGATCTTTTGTTCATATTCTTGTTCTTTTGTATTACAAACTTTTAATATTTTCCAGATAGCCGCAAAATTTTAGTTAGATTATGTTTCATTTTTTCTTTCTTAAAATAGAGAGCTTTGCGTAGCTTTTCTTAGCTAACTGTAACGCTTATCTTGTTTTCTACTCCATAGCGACACTGTAATTTGTAAGGAAACTTTTACGCATGCGTTGTGGAGTTAGAGTTAATATTCGAGTTAGAGGAAAACGTTACTCTTAGCAAAATCTCTTTAATAAATTGTCAAAATATCCTATCTTTAAAAGAAGCTCTCTTATATTTTACTGAATAAATTAATTTTCTTGATGCTGATGCCACAGTTTTTTGTTTTAAAAATAGTTTGTCTATAAACACAATATAGTTATAGTTTGTCTATATTCACAATAATAGTTTCTATTACATTCTTTATATTATAGAAAATAAGTGTATTAAAAAATGTTTACACAGGAATTAATTTTGAGTTTATCAATGTAATGTAATGTAATTTCTAAGCATTTATTTTATATTTCATTTAAAGGTTATTAATAATAATATATATTATAATAATGTATAAGTGTTATTAAATGTAATGCATTAAAACATGAACATTTTAAGTAAACCTCCCATAAAGCTCCCCTTTATTAGCATTAACTAAAGAATTAAATTAAATAAAACAAACTCTAAAATTATTGAAATTATGTAGTGATTTTTTATTTTCTCATAAATGTAAAACTATTAAATATCATAGGTTTTGTCTTGAGTACAAATTAAAATTATATATAAATGCTAAGTTACAAAGAAAAAAAAAGGCAAAACGAAAGAGAATCTTAAAATTGCTTTCGCAAATCCTCTATAATAAAGATGACAAACAAAAAAAAAATGTTTTTCGAGAAATGTACTATATAAATAAATTTCGGATGTAAAACAAATGAATCAAACTGTACAAATATTTCATTGCATAGATTAGAACGAACATCTGCTGCAGATGTCAAACTGGGAGACACAGGACTTATTATTCCTAAAGGTATGTTAGTTGGAATTCCCATAAATGCGATGCACAGAGATCCAACTCTTTTCAACAATCCTGAGAAGTTTAATCCAGACAGGTGAATAGTTTAATTCTTATTTTTAATTTTATTAATAATTAACGCCATATTGAGAAAATTAACCTTGTGATTTTCTACACTGTTTAAAATTTTCATGTATCTGAGCATCAAAAATGGGGGCAACTACTTTACACCAAAGTGATGTTCTACTACACCGAAACCTAAGAATAATTCCTGTAGCTGAGAAACAACTAGAATGTTCTTTTACACTTCTTAGTGTAGAGTAGTCATCCTTAACCATGCTTTAATAATATTAAAATTTAAAAGTATGGTAAACATAAAAATCAGTGATGTTATCTTTATGTGACAATGTAAATTCAGTATAATCAGTAATAAAATGAGTTAGTAAATTAAACATACGCGTTGCAGAGGGAATATTAAGACGATTTCGAACTAGACTGAATAGAGCAGGTGTGAATAGAATTGTAAAATTACTTGATATATTTTTAAGAGTATTTCAAATATAAATATGAATATGATTATTACACAGCTAAAAACATTCATACATACTTTAAACGGCGGACTTCAGTTTTTGCAGATGAAAAGCAATATTGAAAACAGCCACAAGCACTGTCGATTGTATACAATGACAGACTAAATCAAAAGATGCCGATTTTGGAGTTTTCGGGAGCAAAGATATTTAACATTGCAAGTGATCTTTGTGTGAACTTTTTGTATTTTCGGTAGCTTTCTTACACACTTTAAATTGCATATGAAAGTTCGATTTCGTCTTAAGGTTGCTTTTCGAAGGCTCCGTCGTAATATGAAATGGTGCTTTTTTAAAAAAAAAATAATATGCTATTTTTATAACTACTGTGAGTTTGCAACTGTTACTCGTGACAATTAGATCAAGTTTAGCCTATCTAAAGTCAGTACTATCAACGCTTATTTCGAAAATGGCGCAAAACGTTAATATGGAGAAAAGCCACAGTTTTGTGAAAACAAAAAGCGTTTGTGATCTAAGTTTTTAATATTAAAAAATATCGACGAGAGTATTTACAAATAATTAATAAATTAAAAATTATTAAATTATCTCGATTTTAATTATAGTTTATAATTAGAAAAGACAATTTACTTCGATTTTTTCCTTATCAAATTAAAATAAACGATTGAGTCACAAATTTGATTTGACACTATATTGAAAGGTTGAAAATACGTCCCCAATAGTCTTTTAAAGCTGTGGGTATATTTTGTTACATTTCTTTGCAATTGTGTTTAATTGTTCTGGCTTTGCATGCAATTTTATAGCTCATCGCGTGAAGGTAAAGGGTAAAACCAGATACACTCATGACATAGAAATTTCTTTGATTAAAAATCACAGTGTTTATATATGGTCATTCAACTCTTACTTTCTAACGTCTAGGAGAATTGCTGATCAAATGTGAATGTAAGACACTGTAAGAGCATATGCCAATCGTGTCAAGCTATTGAGTATAGCTTAAATTTACTTTGTTCGATATTCGATAAATTATTTAAATACCTGTTAAATTTTATTTAAAACATTAATTATTTCAGTCATTGCATTCTTGTGTATTTTTTAGATTTAGTCCTGAAGAAAGAGAGAAGATTCAGCCTTATTCATATCTTCCATTTGGGGCTGGACCCAGAAACTGCGTGGGAATGCGTTTTGCATTATTGGAAATAAAAGTGTGCTTAGTGTACGTTGTTAGCACATTTCACATAAATATTAGCTCAGAAACTAAGGTACAATAATTATATATTTAATATAGATTAGAATTGAAAAATAATTTCGATTTCTATTTTTTTCTCCCAAAAATGTATTGTTTTAAGTATTTTAAAGGCTAAACATTTACAAAATAAACTACGATTATATGATAATTACGATAATATGATTAGGGTAGCTTTTTAATTTTCATGTCGAGCCATTTATTTTTAATTTCTTCAGTTTTAAGCATACTTTTGGCCGTTACAGATAGATCTAATTTGGATATCATGTATGGATAATTATCTCAGAGAAATGAATAAAATTCGTTTTAGGAAAAAATCCATTTATTAAGTAAATGTTAAGAAGATTATGCCAAATTCAAAAATATAAAAATAAAGAAAATACCTTATCGGAATCAAGTTACACATTCTCTTAAATCGAGAATTTATGTTAAGATTATTGAACGGTAAGAACTGGGCGTCCTTAAACGCTCCCCCCCAATCTCCACACAAATAATTCAAACTTAAAAGTGTATGAATTGTTTCCAACGGACAGTTAGGAGCATGGGAAGAGATCCAAGGTTGGCGAATTATCGAAAGGTAACATAGCCAAAAATAAAGCCAATCCCCATAATCAATATTAAATTTGAAAGTAATTTGGCTATCGCGAATCAAGATACTGTTAGAATTAGTATAGCAATGTAACTGAAACATATTTGTGATACGAAATAAAGAATAAAGAGTTATAGATAGACTTTTGTTTTCGATTGTCGCGACAGTGAATTAATGAGTCTGACATTAGTATTGGAATAAAAGTAATTTCGCTGTTACATTGATGGTATAAGAAAAGAATACCATATTTTTTATTCACTTTTTATAACTTATAATAAAAATTAAATAATTGGTGGTTTAATTTAATTAAAATTCGGTTTAAATCGGTTAGTTTTCGGTTATTAAAAAAAAGTTTAAGAAATTTGAAAAGTTAGGAAATATGTGATGCCTATTGTGGCATCACACGAATAATTCCAGCGGCAGAAACATCTGTATATATCTGCAATGTCATGGAACAAATTTTGAACTTTCTTGTTTGTCGTAAGTTTAAAGAAGCAATGTCAAATATTACAATGAGGAAATGGCTGCACTACTATAAGAAAGTTACTACTATAATTAAATAATTGAAGCATTAGTTTAAAACTTATTAAATGAGAAAAAAAAAACCTTTGTAACAGCAAAATTAGAGTATAAAATTGCTGTTTTAAACTATTTTATTGAAATAAATAAAATTGAAAAAAAAAAGTACGAAACACCGGCTAAGCTAAATACACTCATGGATAAAAAAAATTAGCGCACCAAGAAGGAGTCGTCAAAATGAAATGAAATTTTACATACTTAATGACTACTTTGATATAAGTAAATGATTAGAAAATTAAAGAAAAACGATAATCTTTGATTTTCTAATCATTTATTTAGATCAAAGTAGTCATTACGTAAGCAAAATTTTTTTTTCATTTTGACGACTCCATCGTGCTCTAATTTTTTTGTCCATGAGTGTAAATTCTCTAAGAGAATAAAATTTAAAACAGGTCTAAAATTTTAGAAATTAAATATTTCTACTGAAGAAAAATAATTTTATGCTTCAAATGATTTTCTAAAAGAGCTTAAACAGTAGGCAGAGAAAAAATTTTCCGATGCCGTGGACTTGGGGAAACCAAGTAAATGAATAATACAAAATTTTGTTAAAACCCCCTAAAGCACGTCAATTTAAAATTTGCTAGAAAAAAGAAGAAAAAAAAAACCAGGAATAATGCAGAGCAGATGGTTTTTTTTTTTATTTGTTTAAGTTTTATTTTATGGGGGAAAATGTCTATCATGTTTTTAAAAAAAAATTGATCTAAAAACAATAATGCTTATCTTATTCTTTTTGCAGGTTCCATTAGAGTTCGACAAAGGACAAGGTCTCTTACGACCAAAGCCTATAAATCTCAAATTTCTTCGACGAGATAATTGCATCCTTAACAATCGTGTACTTTAAAAGAAGACAAATTCCATACTGTTTTTTTTTAATGCTTAATGGGGTTACTTAAAGGAAGTTTTAGACTTAGTAGTTTAGAAGTTTCCTACTATTGTCAATTATTTTGATTCACTTTGATTCATTAAATGCTTGTAAATATTTTATCATTTTTCATAGCTTTCATGATTAATGCGATTCATTATTTTCTTAATGTATTTGTGTTGATTTAAGTTAAATAAAATTTTCTTCTATTTTAAAGTTATTTTATTGATGGAAAGATATTAGTGGGCTTAGAATGATATAAAATAAGTAACTTATCCCAAATTCTTCAGAAATGGAACGGTTTGGAGAGCTTACAAAATTGATTTAAATTTCGAATTATATAAATGTAGTGTTAAGAGTATCAACATAGTTTTTAAACATTTTCATCAATGTCGATTCTATTAATTTACGGTGTGACAAATAATTAAATAGTGGTCTAGCAGCCAAGATCTGAAAGTATAGAAATGGTCGAATATCTATAAAAATACGCATCGGATCAATATATTCATATGAAATACCTATTTTCAAAAGGTGAATTTACTGATAAAAAAAATCGACACCTACTTCCAAAATCTGAGGGTGGACAGAAAGTTTCTTTCCTTTTCTCCTATGTTCTCCTTTTTTCCTCCTGCAGATTTGGATTTTCTAGGAAAACATGAGTTTTTGTGGATTTTGGTTCACAGATGGCGCCGTATTCCCACACTTTCTGGGGGGCCTCAAAAATTAGTAAAATGTCCACAATATTACTATTTCTTTTAAATACTGAAAGAAAAAGTTTCTCAAAAAATTCACTTTTTTTTCCCTTCTTCAAATTTTCTTTATATTGTGATAAACCAAACTCGTGTAAACAATGCACTAATCAAATTCGAAAGTACAGCTGAATTTGAATTGGTGCAGTTTTTACGTCAACGGCTTAGGTGAATGCACTGAATATGAACTTTAATTTTTTTAAAAGTGATATCTTTAAATAAATTATTGATATTCTACCATTTTTATGAACTTCAAAAGTTCTTTATTATGCAAAAAATAAATAAATAAATACATTTTGAAGCTTCAAAATAAATTAAAAATGGATGATAAAAAAAAAATTATACGGCTCATAGAAGAGAGTTTGATTATCTATAAATCTTACAAAAATAAATGTGAGCTAATTAGGTTGTTAGATGAGAATTATAAACACGAGGCCTAGTTCTGGGCATCCTGTGCAAAATATAATTACAATAGATCTAGGTGAGAGGATCTGAGATTTAGATGAGACAAGTACAAAAAAAGGTAAATTTCCTGGAAAAAGTCAATGATGTTTGAAGATCGTATGTTCTGCATGGTGCAAAATGGACAATTAGTCTAATTTTCATTTTGTGACATAGCTAAGTTAACTGTTAAACGATCTTAAAGCAACCTCATAAATTCCTCTTTATCGTTCTGAATATAAACCGGTTCCAAAGTGTGCGAAGAGGTTTTTCCCTTTCTCAAACATGAACAAAGCAGAGTTAGTTACGCAAAAGAACCTCCCCTTATGAAAATTTAAGGTATATTTAAGGTTGATTTGAGGTATTTTTGAGGTGGGTATATGAGAGTAGAGATTCG